TACCCCCGGCCAGCAGCTTCTGCTGTGGGCAGAACACACAGCTCCACCTATGAAAAGGATGATTCTTCCCACAAAGTGGCCCCTTGCCTGGGCTGTGTCTCTGTGGTGGTAACAGGGATACGGACACGCAGTGTGTGGCCCCACCACACCAGGCCAAGCAGGGATACTCCGAAGCAGCGCACTGGAGGCTGGGTGGGACCCAAGCCTCGAGGAGGCCACCTCGCAACATTCAAAGGCTGTCACATGGCGCAGCCACACCAGCCTCACTGTGGGGAGGGAAAGCCCGTGCATCATGGAAACTCCTCACAATACAATGTGGAAAAGCAATTTTGAGAATCATTTTGATTCTAATTTTGAAGCCAAGGAAAACAGTTGGACTTGCTTTTCTTTGTTGGTCACTGGAAGAAAGTGAGGAGCATCACTTTGATTGGAGTTGAGTTCCTCTCCAGGCATAAAATGGCTGGAATGCTTGGGGGAGTTACTTCTCTTGGGATGCAATTAGTTGAATAAATACCAAAAGAGCAAAAGTAAACAAACTCATTACTGCCCGTGAAAAACTGCCAAACTAGCAAAAAACTGGAGGAGGGTATCAGGGTTGGAATCTTTAAGGAAAATAAATGACTCTGAGGTTGAGGGCAGCACAAAGAGCATGGGCTTCGCTTGGTACCCGGCTAACTAGAGTTTTCATCTGCTGTGTGTTCCTGGGCAAGTCAATTAGTCTGGGTTTCAATGTCTCCATTGATAAAATGGAAGGGGGGGGGTAATAACCCCACTGGATTACCTGAGATGGTGCACGTCAGGCACCCAGCACACTGCCCTGGCTGTCCCTTCCTGTATCCAGTCAGCTACAAGTTACCTCACTATGTAACAGTAAGAACCAGGATTAAACGTACAGCTTCAAGAGGTCCCACCACTAGCAATTCGACCTCAAGCCAGTTACCACACATCTTTCTGAGTTTCCTTCCCCTCAAAGCATAATACTGGGAACCAGTTCTGAATGTTGGCGTGGCAAAATGAGACAGTGTGAATGCAAAGGACCCTGACACCTAAAACCCTGGATAAGTGTTAGTCAGAGACAGTGTAAGTGCTTGACACAATGCCTGCCCCGAGCACAGAGCTCCTTACTGCTAGCTTGGGTTGTCACTGTCCTTCTGCTGTTCTTGTCATCACATCACTATCACACCATTCTGATCTCCAGTTTCTGAAGTGCTTCCATGTTGCTTACCTAGTATACAAGGGGGGCTGGATCATTCTATCTCACAGAAGAGGCTCAGCCGTTGATATTCCAATCGTAAGAGCTTTGTCTGGGGAACCATGAGAGTCTACACTTGGGAAGGGACAGAACAGAATAAATAGTGTAGCCTGGGTCTGGATGCCTGGGAAAGCTTGAAAACCAACCCTTTCCTGGAACTAGGTTGCCTCCCTGGGTCTCTGGCAGTTTCTTGGCTAGGGCTAAGGCCAGCACCCACATAAGCACAGAAAGGTATTTGTCATCAGCCGCTACAGGTAAGCAGCCTGAAGAAGGCAGTGGCCCAGAAGGACCTCCCTAGCTCAGAAAGGGGGAGGAGAGGAGAGCGGGGTTTCCCCATTGTTCTGGGGCAGGCGTGGCCACCAGCACTGGAGCCGCCAAAGCACCATTGGAAACCAGGCAAACACTTCCAAACTCAGCCAGGTTTCCACTGACATCACTGCAGCACTAACTCCTAGCAGAACCCAAACCAGAAGTTCTCGAACACCTTTCTCTCCCTGGCCAGTGGAACCATGCTTGTGCTTTGTCATGTACGTGAGAAACAGCTCAGTATGCCCCGGCGAGCACAGGGTCTGTTTTGTAACTGTCCATTGGCTGGCATCAGGTAAACCCTGGACCCAGGATGCTCATCGGAGAAGCTCCTGAAGAGGCCAGGGAGGACAAAACCTTCAGAGCTCACGTCATGGTTGTTATTTTAGCATAGATTAACGTGAACTCAAAAAGTGGTGATGCCAATACCTTTTTACAGATAAAAACCAGATTAAATGCATTTCTGTGTAGTAATGAAGAGTTTAAAGGTTCCAGTCCATCAGATGGGGGTTTAACCTTGGTTCTGCCACCTTCTAGTTTTGTGACCTTAGGCAAATCACTTAAGCCTCTCCAAGTCTCAGTTTCCTCATCTGTACAGTATAGATAACAGCAGCATCTACCTTAAGTACAGCTGAAAACACTTGTGAAATTTTTATTGCAGGGTCAGGGGTATAGTAGGTGCTTAGTAAGTAGATGCTATGGGTTTGACTAATAAATACAATGTGTTGCCCCTCCTCTGTGCAACTCCAGCCCTCAGGCAGTCCCTTGTCCTTGGGCTCCCTGCCCTTACATCCCTCTTCCCACTACTCCCCACTGCTCAGCAGCTGTTGGCAGGTAGGTCTTTTATTGAGCTCCTATGGTGTTCTAGGGCACATGCTAAACACTACATGTGGAGCGATGACACCAACCTCATGGAGCTCATATTCCAGAGGATGGGGTAGGGAGATTGCATATATTTGATTGTGATAAGGACTCTGGAGGGGGAGGTGGTGAGGCCATAGTCTTAAATAAGCAGGGAGCATCTCACTGAGAAGGTGATATTTCAGCAAGGCCTGAAAGAGGTGAAGAGGTGAGCAATGAAGACAGAGGTGACACTGTCTAGAATAGAAGGTGGATAGGGCCTGAATCCAGAGAGTGCTTAGCAAACTTGAGGAATATCTAGGAGGCAGTGTGGCTGGAGGGGTGGCCAAGGGAGAAGGGTGAGGGATGACATCAGCGAGGGAGCAGGGGCCAGATCATAGAGGGCCTTGGAGACTCACTAGCTTTTTCTCTAAGCTGAGGATCCTTGTAGGATTTTGAGTCAGAAAAGTGACCCAATCTGACTTTTCTAAAAGGGTCACTCTGGCTGGTGGGTTGAAGACAGACTGCAGGGTAGGTGAGGACAGGGGAGGGAGACCGGTTAGGAAACTGACTACTGCCATGGGCCAGGCAGGAGGTGCAGATGACATGTGCCAGGTGGTGGGGAAAAGCAGTCAAATTCTGGGAATATTTTCAGGATACTACTATCATAATTTGGTGGTGACATTAGATATGAGATATGAAAGAAACAAAGGAGTGTAGGATGATATAAAGGTTTTTGGTCTGAGCAACTAGAACAGAGTTACCAGAAAAAGCAGGATGAACAGGTTGGGATGGAGGTATGAGAAAAGACAGGAGTTTGTTTTTTGATAGACTGAGATAGCCAGTAAACAGCTGAGTTCAGGGGAAAACCAAACGTGGTACGATCAGTATCAGTGCTCCATGGAGACAAAGACTGGGTGAGATCACCAAGGTAAACAAGAGTCTGAGGACTGAGCTCTGGGCCCCCAATAGTAAGAGGACAGGAATATGAAGATGAACCAGCAAAGGAAGTTGAGGAGGAGCAGCCCGTGAGACTGGAGGAAAGAATGTTCAGGAGCCACCAACTAAAGTGCCACAGAGCTGAGAGGCAAAACCTTAATGAGGACCAAGCACTGGCCCTTTGATCTGGCAGATATAGACCACTGGTGAGCTTGTCTAGGGCACCTGGAGTGAAGGGGTGGGGGCAAGTCCTGGTGGGGTGCATTCAAGAGAGAACAGAAGACAGGCACTTTCTGGAAACAGTGATTATAGGCAATTCCTTGGAGGGCTTTGCTAAAAAGGAGAACAGAAATGGAGCAATAACTGGAGAAGGGACGTGGGGTCACAGAGAGTTTTCTTTAAGTTGAGAGAAATAACATGACTATAGGAAAAATGTGAGGATGCAGGAGAGATGGGGAGGACCGCTGGAGCAAGGCCCTTGGGTGGGTGTGAGGCGGCATCTGCACGTCCTCCCCTCCTTGGCCCGCCTAACTCCTACTCATCCCTCAAAGGTCAGTGTAAAGGTCACTTTCTCAGGGAAGCATTCCTGACCCCTAGATTAGGTCAGTTCCCTGTTATACCCTCTCCTAGCATGTGATGTTTCTGTTTCCCAGCATTTGGGAAGGCTCTAAGGACATGGAAGCCCCGTGAGGGCAGGATCTGGCTCCGTCCTGTTTGTAGCTGTAGCCCCGGCAGCCACTGCACTGCCTGGCACACCACAGATGTTCAATGGACATCTGGTGAAAGAATGAATGGTCCAAGAATAGAACTAAAACAACCCAGAGGCACATATCTGTGTTCTGCTCCCTTCTGACTTAATCACGTTGCAATGATCAGGAACATGCAGCCACTGGCTTTTGCAAATATTTGGATTTAGGAGAGCTCATTTGTTTGTTCCTGTTTGGACTCTGTAGCTTAGCTAACACACAGGCCAGAGCCACATGACCGGATACATCCTTCCTCTGATACTGTCCACCAGAAACTGAACACATTCCATACCGTGTCCAGCAATTCATTCATTTAACAAATATTTGCCTAGAGCCCGCTTGGTGCAACATCCTGAGGATACTAGGTTGAATCAGACACAGGACCTGCCCTCATAGAGCTTGGAGTCCAGCAGAAATCAAACAAAACTGCAATTCATCACATGTTGATGTGATGTGTTGATGTGGCAGGTGTTATAAGGGGAAAGTTTACGGGGGTATGAAAGTATATAATGGGGAGACATACTGGTCTGAGGAGGCAGAGGCGGAGCAGAATGGAGATTGGACAATAGCCCGCAGCTCCCTGGATTTTGCTCTCAAGCTCTAGCCCAGGAGCTCAGTAAAGGGGCTGTGGACTTTAGAGCTGACTCCAGGGATGGCAGAGCCAAGGCCTCCTGTCTTCAGA